ATCTATCTATCTATCTATCTATCTATCTATCTATCTATCTATCTATCACTGTAGCTGCTGTAATAATGATCTATTACACTTTCTTTTGATTTTTTTGTTGTATTTTTCACTTTGTATGTGTTTTTTTGAGAATGTACAGTATGCATTTTTATTATAATTATTTTAGGATTTTTTTTTCTTTTCTTTATATTATTTTAAAAGCAATAAAAATAATTTTCAAGATGGAAATCACAACTATGAAATTGAAACCATGCCTCCTTTAACATGCATCACAAGAAAATAAAAGGGGGCAGAGCTTTGACTGCATGGTGGGGCTGCCATCTTGACTTTTTTGGACCTTCTTCCATAGCTCTGTGTCATATATAACACGGCGAACCTTTGTTGTTGTTGATTTCCTGATTTTATCAATCTTCCCATAGATTATATCCCATGGTTCACTAATGGAATATTAAAACAATATCTATGGAAGAGGCTCAGCCAAGATCCATAGGCTGAATTCACTTACTTGTAAACACTGCCAGTGACATCTGCAATTGCTTCTCCTTCAGAGAACGGTCATTTCTATTCACTCCCATAAGGATACCACTATCATGCTGTGTTTTTTATTCCCTTCAACTCAAAGGGTAGCAAAATATTGCTTCCTTTGGTCGGACATTCAGAGATTAGTGACCTTCTAGTGAGTTTGGTGGGAGAGGGTTTTTAATCACTGCTGTTCTTATTAGCTACGAAAGTGAGGAAATACTCTGTTTTATAGGGATTTATATTGCTCTTGTTTTATTTATTCTAAACCACTTGGAGTCTGCTGTACAAATATTATAATTAATTCATAATTCATAATATAATCATAATAATATGAATTAATCATGATTCATTCATAAATAAATAACAGCAAGGAAATACAATGCTTATATCCACACCCACAGAGTTTGTAATAATTCTCAGTTTTAAGTTTAAAAATGAAAACCTTGTAAGATTTTGAAAGAATAGAGAAGATGCCATCTGTAAAATTAACAGTGCATTCTTACATAATTAATGGCAATATTCACCATCCCTAATTTTTATTTGGAAGAGGTCTTTTCTACTACACCGAAAGGAAGGGTACATAAGAAGATATGCAAGAAGAGTTTCAGCAGAACAACCAGAATGTTCTGCTCCTTATGTGTGTACACGTGATGTTAAAACGTATGCGCAAAAAGGGCAGGTGCTGGGTTTTGTCATTTGTCTTCCCAACAGCGCATGTCCACAAACGGAACTTTCATTATTATCTAATGCACAAAGCCTTTCTCAGGAGCAGGTTCATATTATTCCATTTGAAGGAACTGAATTACAACATGTATGTATATATGAAATAATAATGTGATAATATAGATCTATGTATGGAATAGCAAGAGCAAGAGCATTTAGAGTTATATACCACTTCAGAGTGCTTTACAGCCCTCTCTGAGTGGTTTACAATGTTAGCATATTGCCCCCAAAATCTGGGTCCTCATTTTACTGACTTCGGAAGGTTGGAAGGCTGAGTCAACCTTGAACTGGTGAGGCTAGAACTCCTAGCTGTGGACAGAGTTAGCCTACAATACTGCATTCTAACCACTGCACCACCATGGCTCATGTATTCTCTTACCTTGTTCAAGCTGGCTTTTGATTGAAGGAAGGATTCCTCCTACAGATTGACAGTATTCATTTGCTTTTTGAAATGTCATGCTCCGAGGGGTCACCTTTCGATAACACTGTAAAATATTTTTTTTAAATAAATATAACCTCTGACATAGCTATTTCACAAATGTTCCGAATACCCTGTTTAAACTATGTTCATACAGTAGCCCAATGTCAAGGTTGTTACAAAAAAGGTAACATACATGTTCCAGGAGAATGTTGCAGGATCCAATCTGGGTCAGTCACCAGGATCAGAGGTTTAGTCTTCCAAGCTTATAGGACTTGTGCTGGAGTCCTTCCTCAGGGAATTTCTCTCTACCAGAATGTGTAGAGCAGGGGTGTCCAACCTTGGCAACTTTAAGACTTGTGGACTTAAACTCCCAGAATTCCTCAGCCAGCTGGCTGAGGAATTCTGGGAGTTGAAGTCCACAAGTCTTAAAGTTGCCAAGGTTGGACACCCCTGGTGTAGAGAGAAGACCAATATTCTGGCAGAGAGAAGGTCCCTGAGGATTGGCTCCAGCATGTCTGAAATCTCGGAAGACTAAACCACTGGTCACAGAGACCAACCCCAGATTGGATCCTTCAAGTTTGTTAGTTGCAGGTTATTGCAGATCTTTAAATATTAACCAAACTAGTTTGATAACCATTTCAAGTCAGCTTCTGAAGAGTGAAATATAATAATCAGAATCCCAAATTATTTATGCTTTACCTTATTTAGGAAAAAAATCCAATTTTCAGGGCAGCTTTCCTCACTTGGTTTATAGCCTGGTTCGCCTGTCTCCAATAATGATGCATTGTATTTCTCACAAATGAAAGGCAGTTTTGTACTGCAACCTAATGAACTGCCTGCAGAATAGAGAACAGAGAATTGTTATGCTGATACCCCGTTATGCAGACCTCTAAGTTTAATGTAAGTAATAAAATAGTTTTAATTGAAGATTGTTTTTAATACCTTTGGTTTTAAATTTAGTTTTATGCTTTACCAAACAGAACCCTCAGCAATTAGTGTAAGTATACTTTGAATGAATATATTAATTAATCAGTAAAGAAAAATATTGGTAGCTTAGGGTCCTTAATGCTCTCTGAGCCTGGTTGTTTTCTTGCTGATGTTTCATTACCCAAACTAGGTAACAACATTAGTTTAACACTCATGATTACCTAGTTTTTATAATGAAACATCTGCAAGAAAACAACCAAGCTCAGAGAGCACAAAGAACCTAATGAATGAATGATAAGAATGCCTTCTTGGTTCAAAAGCAAAGCCTATATAGACGGTCCCAAGCTCAACCAGAGGATATTTAGTTAAAAGCACTTTATATAATAGAGTTGGACTGAAAGGTTTGAAGAACTGGTATTAATGTTGGACCAGTAAGTTCAATAGCTTTATTTGAAACTGCAAGATCAGCAATAAAATGAACTATGTCAGGAGAAGGATATTAATTATCAGAACAATGCAAATCTGCAGATCCAATAGGATGGAAACAGGGTGTTGTGGAGAGGGGATGAACAGTGGAAGCTGACAGAATTCCTATAGACCGGGTGTCAAACTTGCGGCCCACGGGCCAGATGCATCACTCGCAGGCCACACCCACTCCAGCTCCACAAAGGGAAAAAAACACTGCGATACATCATGTGACGGCAGCCGGATGCGGTGAGTTTAACACCTGTGCTATAGATGGAAAGAAACTTACTGTCTCAGAATAGTTATTTTGAGAATTTTAAACGGTTTACCTCCTGTCAATTTCAATCAAGATAAGAACAGAAGCAAAAAGATCCATGACGGTGAAAAGCAATCGTGTACATTTTCTGGCTTTGTTGCCTTGAGTTGGCAGAATTTAAGATTAAAAATCATGTAGTAGGAAGCATGAATCCTCCAAAAAGAAGCCTAAAGGAAAACTAATATACTCTTCTTATTTAGGAGAAAGGCTGAGAATAATTTTTAAAATATAACTGTTTAAAAAAATATAAAGTCATTACCTCTTAACCAGGATTGATAAGAGATATGCCAACATTTTCTGGGGTGGTGTTCAAAATAGTGTGCTAAAAAGCTTAAGAAAAAACAAAGAGGATGTTAAAAAGGAAACAAGATACATATAGCCACAGAGTGGCATCCAAACAGTATAGTCAGGGATGGAACGATGGGCCATGATCATTCACATTTTTATACAAATATTACATCTTACATCAAATATAATATTTGATAAATAATATATTTATAAAACAAGTATATTTAAATAATGAAAATATGAAATGCAAGTACATACTTGCAGCATTTACGGTAAGGTAATATGGTAAGTTAATATGGTAAAATTAAAAGGAAGAAGTAGCATAGGTAATTTTTCTTGGTACCTCCTACGCAGAAAACTGCTCGTTTTGTCCATATGTACAAAATATGAAAGACAGGAAGGGTTGGATTATGATCCTACAAATAGTTTCTATTTACAAGTGTTTCTTTAATGATGGTTCAAAGTTAAGATAGCCTTAAAATAATGGCTTATAACCCATCCTTGAAATTACAACTGTTGCACCACGGACACGTGGTCACAATTCAGGAGCTTGGCAACCAGTTGCGGCATCTTGCCATCATATGATCACTATTTGCAATCATCCCAACAACGATTCCCTTAAGAACCACACGGTATGCTTAACAACCATGGGGAGTCAATAAATACCATGGTAAAAAATGATCATAAAATAGGCTCCAGTCACATCATGGCTTGCTCAACAATATTGCTTGGTAACCAAACGTCTGATCCCCATTGTGGACGTAAGTGGAGGACTACCTATGTTTCTACCATCTTTCCTCTTTCAAATCCACCCAGGTGGATACTTCTAGCAAAAAGGCCCAATCCAGGCCGAAACTGATGGGAGGGGTGAGGATGGCTGAACTGATGCTCTAATTTTAATCCAGATAAAAAAAACTCCACGCTTTCCATTTTCATGAAATAACATTCCTCGAAGCAAAACACTCTTAATTCAATCTATTTTGGAAGGTTTGTTTTTGCAAGATATGGTATTACTTTGGGGCTTGGAAGCCTACAGAGTTTGGCTTGGTTAGTATTTGAATGGGAGGCTAAGGGAGTACCAGGACTGTAGGCTAGATCTTGGAAAAAGACAATTACTTATTTATACAATTTCTATAGCTTCTTTCTAATTGCTATGAAAACTGTTCTTGAGGTCACAGAAGTTGAGTTGAGTTCCACCCCAAGAAGACTTTACTTTATATTTTTAAGGTACCAAATATAATTATACTCATTTAGTTATAGATACTAAGACTAATATGATGAACTGCCCCATATAAGTATGCACACAAAACCTGCTTTTCTTTTTCATTTGCATTTTAAAATAAAAATTGGGATCTGGTGCAGAGATATGCTCCTACATATGCTGAAGGTTTTTTCTTAATGTAGCCAAAAAATAAAAATGCAAATGCAAATCCTTCAAATGCCCAGTTTTTCAAAAAAGTGTAAAACATGGGTACTAATACAATTATTTGCACTAAACCTTGCAAAATATTGCCTCACGCTAGCTCATATGCAACTGTTTATGGAACACAGCAGCAAAACTTTAATGAATCCATTCTGTTCTTAAATTTCCATTAAGAACCATTGTAAAAATATGTTTTAAGGAAAAAACATACTGTTAAAATTCCCCGGCTCCCCGAAATTTACCATTTTGGTATCTGACCTTCAGTCATAAGTGGCAGATACAACATTGCACTTTGTAAATAGTTTTCGTAAAAAATAATCTTTAAAACAACACAGATGGATGTTTCTACTTACGGCAAACGATAGTGAATTGCTGGAATTTTGTATTTGAACCACCAGTTCTGATTCTCGTCCGATAACTGTCAAAAGCAGATTGTGTTAGCATGAAATGCAATATCCAATGTTATCTCTTCCATGCAATACTGAAAAATGTTTTCAATTGCATGAAAGTGTAGCAATCTTTGAGAAAAAGTCAAAAAAACCCTCATAACTATTGATTTATTAGATGTTTTTCTCAACTCCTTTTTATTTTTAGGGTACTCTAATGTAAAAACATTTCTACAACCATAATAATAAAGAAATACTAAGTTTACTGCAACACAGTATCTGCAATCAACATCTTTAATACTGCTAGTGCGGTAATACAATGTATTACAATATAAGAAATTAGAAGGAAGACAATAAAACCCCAGCAAGATTTAGTGCAGGCACATCATGAGTAAGGGAAAAATTAAATCCAATCTTTTTAAGTATCTTATTAAGACTGGCTTTATGGTAAATGTGATTCATGTTGACTTCACCTATAATTTGATCCAACTAAGAAGCCATCTATGATTTCCCAAGCTCTGTAAACTTACTTGGATGAGGTCATATTTAAGTCCTTTGCAGTGCAAGACCTCTTTTGCCACCCATAATAACCATCTATGAGATAAGTTGGGCTGAAAGAATGTACTAGCCCAAAGTCAGTTCTTTGTGGCTAATGTGGCACTAGAACTTGGATCTCCCAGTTAGCTCAGTGTGACTGAAGGGCATTCTCTTAACTACAGGTAGTCTTCGACTTATGACCATAATCGAGCACAAAATTTCTGTTGCTAAGTGAGGCAGTTGTTAAGTGAATTTTTGCACCATTTTACAATCTTTCTTGCCACAGTTATTAAGTGAATCACTGCAATTGTTAAGTTAGTTACACAGTTAAGTGATTACGGATTCCCAATGGACTTTCCTTGTCAGAAGGTCCAAAAAAGTTTGTAAGGGCACTGAATGTCATAAATATGAGGCCCAAGCATTTCAATTTAGATCATGTGACCACATGGATGCAGCAACAGTAGTGTGAAAAACAATCGTAAGTCACTTTTCTCAGTGCTGTTATTAACTTTGAACAGTCACTAAAAGAATTACTGTAAGTCAAGGACTACCTGTATCCAGAAAAAAAAAACTCAAGAGAAAGAAGTAGTCATAGTTTGCTTCAATTATGGCAACTGGCTTCATTCTCTGATTTCTTCCAAATGAACTAAGCCAAATATCTTAATAAATCAACCCAAGATTAACTATTTATTGTTGCATTTATTCATGGATAGAGAGCAAGTAGCGGTGCACATGGTAACACCATACCACAACGTGCAAGTACGAGCAACCCACAGATTTCACACAATCTCCAGGGTCACCCAGATCTCATTGCTGAATTTTAGCAACAAATTACTGAACAACAAGAAGCAGCATGATTTCCTGCTCATTTTTATGGAAAAATAAAGTAATTTGTCTCTGATAGGTTTAATGCCTGTAACTTTTGCATTACATTTCCTAATGACTTCATGATATCCTCCATCAAAATCCACAAAGAAAAGGGATGTTGCCAGTCATTTCATTCAATAGAAACCACCCAAAATATAAATTAATGCATTACTTTTAAAATTGTGTTTAGAATGCCATTCAGAGCAGTGAAGGTGGTCACATAAGCCAAATCACTTCCATTCTCCAAACAATACAAGGAAGCTTCTTGATAGCTCAGATGCTTATTTGCCACGAACCAGAATTCTGACCCATCAATATTCAGTGTTGGCCCATGAATTCCTTCTTCATCTACAAGAAAGAAAGAAAATCACATACGAAGCTTACATTCGGTACAACCTAACACGAACCAGCAAATTCATGCAATCTGAATCATCACATAACATGGAGGCTATGTGAATAAAAATAAAAAAATGCTTGGCATTTTTGATTTAGAACAGAGTACCCCAAACCTTTCAGGGATGGCAGCCCCGAATGAGGGAGGGGATGATTTTGTGGGAGGGGCAAGTGCATGTGTGCCACAAGCGCCCACGACAAGGCTCGCACGAGTGGGGCCACAAGTGCCCACGAAGAAGCTCACGCAGAAGCGTGCGCTCCAGCAGGCCCCTCATGTGGCCAATGGCGATTAGCTTGCGGCCCAATAGTGGGCCACGGACCACAGGTTGGGGATGCCTGACAAATGACTAAATTTGACTTCAGTTCCTCCAAGTCTGATTTCAAGCAAAGACATTACAACTTACTCCATCACACAATAATTTGCTAAAGTTGACAAGTTTATTAATATGCTCTGAGAATTAAACAGGCCAATTTTCTTACTAATTACATATTTTTATCAACTCTACTGCAAGAAAGACTGGGTTACACCTAAAACTGGTTCATGAATGGTCATGTTGGGAAGGTAATTATCATTGTCTGTAACTTCTGCATTTCACTTATGATTTAGTATTTATAATCAACCAGATATAAACTGAATGAATATAAACATATTATTCTAGTGATTATGGGTATTTGTGTGGAATAGGAGCAAGTGACATATATCTCATGCCATCCGCGTACAAATAATATGATGTACGTGCATCAGGCATCATGACATGAGCGCACCATTTATGCAATGACATCATGACACTTTGACATTACAGAATAAGAGTTGAAAGGATCCTTCCTAGTTATTCCTGAAGCTTCGCCAAGTTCCTTCTGGATAAAGGTAATACTTTGTTATATAAATCTTATTTCAAGTTTCAATCACACACACACGCTTGCATACACACAAAGAATATATGGAATGCTACTGTATGTTTAGTGTTTTACAAAATACATGATTTATGCAATGTGTAAAAACTCCCATGCACATTCCAGCTATCTGAAATAGCAATACCAGTAAGACTTATATACTGCTTCACAGTACTTTACAGCCCTCTAGGCGGTTTACAGTCAACATATTGCCACCAACAATCTGGGTCCTCATTTTACCCACCTTGGAAGGACGGAAAGCTGAGTCAATGTGGTGAGACTCCGAGTGCCGTACTGCATTCTAACCACTGTGCCACCACGGATCTTGAATACTTGAACTGGAATTAAGCTAACAATCCCATCTCTTTTAAAACTGCTATGAGGCTGTGGAAACAAAGGTCCCTGAACTGCAATAAAGTGTATGAAAAGTAAGAAATAATCTTACCTGGTTTGTACCATTCAGGTCTCTTTGGAGTACTACCTGTTGATAAAGAAAAAGCCTATCACTGGATGTACTAATACAGGGATGTCAAACTCGCATCATCACAGTGGCGTCACATGACATATCACGACTTTTTCCCCTTGCTAAACTGGATGTGGGAATGACCAGTGCGTGATGCATCTGGGCCATGAGTTTAACTGCCCTGTACTAATATATCCTTGGTTAGAAAAAGGCTACTTGTCACTTTTTTAGTTACAATTGGAAATGTATGACCTTCTAATAAAACAGGAATGTCCAAACTTGAATTCAACAATAATTTATCTTTCCATACATATAAAGTCTCTTGAGTCACTTTAAAAAACTGAATCTAATTCAAAGTATCCAAGTTCTAAGGCAGTTTTCTTTGCTATTAATATTACACTTTTGGATTCAAGTGGTTCCCCCCAAAAATCCAACATTTAACTGATCAAAAATCCATAGAGTTCTTGTAAAGAGTTGTATAAAGAGGTGATATCATATTCCAAGAGAGTCCTGCAAATAGCAGTACAAATGGAATAAAATAGATATGATTATTCAGAGAACAATTACTTCATACAATGGAATTAATTTTATATCCAACAATAAAAAGAAAGCAAAGAAATCACCCCGCTTTAATTATCAATGGCCATATTTCTGTAATAAAATCTTGTTCCAAAACATAAAAAGAATTTTTGATTTGAAAACACTGTCTCCCAGTATTTCAGCACCTGAGTTAGGCTATACCAATTTTATTTCCCAATCTTTTGAGCCTTGAGCCCTTGAAATATTTTTCAACCCTCGAGGAACCCCTGCACGTTCAACCTCAACTATAGGCCAGAATTTACAAAATTATTATATTAATTTCGTGTGTTGGTACTATGTGTTTTTAACAGCGTTCATAAACTAAAAATAAAGAATGACTTTTTTCCCTTTCCCCTGCTTCCTTCCCTCCATCCTGTCTTTGTGCGTGGTTGCAACCTGGACCAGGCCAGTCCCAGATCTTCCGTATCCGCCTGGAGATAGCTCCTCCCACCCCAGGCTGCTACACACCTGGAGAAAAACAGGCTGGCGAGCTGGCAAGGAGACCCCATACAGGAAATCTCACTTTTGTAGGCTCATTCACCAACTGCTGTTCCTCCCTCCTTGCTTGCTTTTCACCTACTAACTTGTGTGTGTGTGTAATTCCTGCCCCAGCCAGGAGTTCATGCAAGGCTCCAGGGGGCCAATCGGGGGTTGGAGGTGTTTTGTTCAGTCTCTCCTTTTTAAAAAACAAACACACACAAAAAAACAAATCACGATCCCTCAGGGAACCCACTATAACCTCTCGCAGAAAGCTAGGATTCTGCAGAAGTCCAACTGAAAAACCCTGGGTTACCCACGAAGCTAAAACATAATGTTTTGAATACCTAGTTTGAGAGGCAGCCTTGTTTTGCTATCAGGCAGTGCTTTTTTTTCCTTTTAACCTCATTGTTGGCTCTTTAGTTAAATTGGATGGAAAGTCAAAAAGTAGTTTTACATTTAGACAGTATACAGCGGCCCTGTGGTTCTCAGATCAAGAACTGGCAATTAAGCCTATCTTCAATAATTGCCCTGCTTCAAAGACACCTTAAGAGTCTGTTAATTTGTAGGAAGAAAAAGCCACGGATCTGGAACTACTACAAGAATGAGAGGCATCTGTACATTTCCATCAATGCTTGTTTGGTTTTGTTGCTGCTGGCACTAAAGATTCTTATTCAGCCAAATCAGGTCTGCCAAGCCTTGCCTAAAAAATAAGGTTACTCATGAAAATCATGAAGTCTGGGGGACACTGCCAAATCCTAGTTGGGGGATACTAATACTGGTTAACAGTAGGGCAGAAAAAGAAAGAAAACACTTTTATGTAACACACACGTTCTTGAAATAATGTATGCCAAAGATGGGATTTCAACATTTGATTCAAACTTTTGTCAGGTGGAAACGAACTCAAAGTTTGGAGGAAAAAACTGAGAACGTTTTCAGAACTCAGATTTTTTTTTAGAGTTACAGGAAATTGGCCAATCATAATGCTGGCATATTGAAAAAAACAAAGGAAAAGATAATCCTATATTTTAATGCTTTTATCCTACATATTTTATCTGGAATGAGCCATGCTGAATACAGTAGATCGCCTTTCTAAAAAAACAAAACAAAAGCACATTTTTACCTTTAGGGATCTGGCATACCCATTCAAGTTGTACATCACAATGGAAAGGTTTTAAGTAGAAATCCTCTTCTCTATCTTCAAATAGGTACATATGATACAGCGGCCGACGTCTTCGTCCGAGGGTCTGTATAATTACAAAAAAAGAAAAAAGCAATGATAATATGCATTTCTTTTTGTAGTAACTCTGAAGTAAGTAAGTGTCCATAACTAAATTCTGTTAAAAAGATTTCCTTCCCTATTAGCTCATTTAATCATTAGAAATAAATCTCTGTGTTCAGTAGAATTTTCTTTTAAATGTATAAGGGTTTCTAGCTACAGGCTAAAAAAATAGCAATACCAATTAAACTTATAAGCAGCTTCACAGTGCTTTATAGCAGTTTACAGAGTCAGCATATTGCCCCCAATAATCTGGGTCTTTATTTACTGACCTCGGAAGGATGGAAGGCTGAGCCAACCTTGAACTGGTAGTGGGCAGAGTTAACCTGCAATACTGCATTCTAACTACTGCGCCAGCATCACAACAAATACTGTTGTTACAGAAATATTCTGTTTAATACTGGGTAATTGCTTGATGAGGAAAATCACATTTTGAAAGATATTATTTTCAGCTGGTAATCAACAAAAAGGAAATATTCCAGGCATATATCTGGATTTCCAATATGTAAAAGCAGGATACAGATGAATGGTAAATGCAGAAGTAGAAAAGAATCAAGAAAGATAAGGGCTAAATGTTCTTTCCCTTAGCTGAGAATAGTCCCATTAAATCCAGTGGGACTTACTTCTAACTAAATTAAACTACTGCCAATGCAATACTTACTCAGAACTGAAGTATGGAATTGCCATGCTATGCTTGTTATGTTTATAAGCAAATATATTTGAAATATTTGTCAAAAACTACACATGCCTACTTTAAAATAGTATTTCTTTTTCCAACTAATGAAAACAATATATTGAAAGGATCACTGCTACTATACTTTTCAAGATAAATTATATTATGCACATTATTGCATTCCAATGCAATATTTACAAACATAACACAGTTGAAAAAGGCTGTTTTATTCTGAAGTTAGGACAGCAAACCTAACTAATCAGACAGATAGGAAGATGAATAAGATTCACATGCCAGGGCATTTGCAAGAAGGCTGCAAGCATTCAGGAGATTTTAGTTATGTCTATGTTCCTGCCAGAAATAAGATTATGGTGTTCTGGGGATGAGACAGTAAAGCCACAAAGGCAATCTTGGATTCGTTTTGTTTAAAAATTCCAGAACTGTTTCTGGCTCCATTTGAAATGGATGTATTAATTTCCTCCATTCAAAATCAAGGTGACTGTGTGAGAGAAAACAAGAAGGCCAAAATCACCACAGCAATGCAAGCTTGCCTCCTACATCTCTCCCCTAGGCTGTTCAAACAGGCAAGCTGTGGAAGCAGTACAGTATTCCCTCACACAGACGCATTTTTTTTAGGACTGTACATTAAGACCTGATTTCCTGCTAAATGTGATGAAGCAATTCCATAGTAAAAAGAAAATGTAATAGAGTACAAGCTAAAAAAAGCCCCTAGGGCAGTCTAACTGGCTAAATTGCAGGACTTATTGGCAAGCATGAGGTCAACTGAGTTATTTTACAAAAAATAGCACAGATTCTTCCAGTATTTCCTTCTCTATAGTGATCAAAAACGTCAAAATGTACCTTGACAGCTGCGCAATCTCGAAGATCATAGTCATCTTCTCTAAATTCCAGAGGCATAACAACAGAAGAGATCTATGGAGGAACAATGGTTTTAAAGCTGTATGCTATTAATTTTAATTAGTATGTTTTAGTAACAATAGCCGCAACATCCCAATACTGCAGGGACAGGAATATTGAGAAAAATAAAAAGAGTACTTTCAATATTCATTAAGATATATGTTTTTAGTAAATTGAACCAGATTATCCTCTGAACTTTCATGACAAAGCCTTTGTTAAAGGTCACATTAAGAGTATGTAAAAGTCACATCATAATCCAGAACTATATATTCATTATATGAAAGCCTGAATCCTATATAGGTATTTCTCCTTCCTTCCTTCCTTCCTTCCTTCCTTTCCCCCCTCCCTAGGAAATGACCACAGAAGTGTCCCTAAATGAGGACTTCCATGTGTGTAATTGTGTCTAAATAAAACAAATACTCCACAAAGTAATTTTCATATAGAATAGTCTAATGACATAGGCTTTGGTTTACTGAACATTTTCATAACCAATTTAAGCTACTGTACATTATTTGAAGTTATTATTTAAAGCCTGTTTTACCTTTCCTGTGCAAAATGTTCTTTAAAAGCTTTTCAACTTCAGAATTTCACCAATATTCTTCCAGCTACAATTGGATCATTTAGTATTCTAGGTATGGTCAGCTTAACTTACCGGCTTATTGTCACTCCATTGCCATGAACCCAGAAGATCAGGATTCCTCTTATTTAGCCCAATCCAGACCCATCTGTCATCACTGTAAATAAAAAAGTAAATATGCAAAGGAATGTTCAACTTAATTGTTTTATTACTTGTGAGTATTTGGTGATCATTTTCATCATTTAAGACAATTGCTCTGTGAGATACTGAAACCTGAAAGCATGTGGATAATTATTTTGCCAATCTGCTGGTTCAAGCACCGCATATACTTTTCTTTATAAATTTTCCCCTGAGAATCTGCACATATAAAGCTTATATAAACACATAACTGATTGTAAGTTAAAAAACAAAGAAAGAAGAAATGGGGGCTTGGCTTCCATGGTCTGGAATTTGGACACAGAAATCACCAAGGAAAAAAAAAGTCAAAGATAGAAGCTGAGTGGCATTATGTAGTGGAAGGCAAAGCACTTAGGGGGATATAAATGCCAGTCAATAAATAAATTCTGTACTATATATAATTGCAAATAAATCCATCCGTAGATAAACCAACCCTGGATTTTTTGAGCAAAATACCATAAAAAATGTGCTATCTGCTGATAGACAACCTTTCATATATTTTTTTAAACATTTTGTGGGTCTATTTATTCACCGATGGGCTTATCCAGGAGAATATATGGGAATTAGTACTTTAAAAACGTATTATGTATATACTCATGGATAAGCCCATCTGCAGAAAAGCCAAGCCTGGTTTTTGTCATGTATTTTGACACCTACAATTTTTGGCTTACCCGAAGTATATACAGTAAATAAAAAATACAGTAACTCAGCAGGTCCTTTGGCAGTCACAAATCTTTTGTTTAGCAAATTGGCTAATCAGCTGCCCTTGAGTTGGTCTTAATAGAGACGAATGTCCTCTAACTTGTCTGACCTTGGTAAACAACCTGCAACTCTTCCAGGGACATTCCAGAAATATCTCTAGTTTTATCCATCAATGTTGTTTGCTGTCTTCCCTCTATGCCCCAAAGTCTATTAGTTTCTGCCTGATCATCACTGTCTCTAACAGTGTTTATTTCTTCTAGAAACAATCTCAAATACAGACTCTCCTTAAGCTGGTCTTCGACTACATGAAATATTTCATGATGGTGATGGTGATGGTGATGGTGACACACATACTCCTCAGGGTAATCAGCATATAAAAGAGATGATATATAAATATTGGAAAGATTCAACTCTGGAGAGTTCCTTTAATTGATCCTTGAAACAATTTTCTCCAGTTTATAACAGAAATCACATTGTAGTGTATTAAATTGTTGGGGGAAATTAAAGCAGAGGATCTTCTCATTCACTGAGAGGAATTGTACAGAAACCATTTGCCTCTCTTACCTCAGCCTCAAGATGCCCCTAAGAGACTGGTTAAGACTGCTTGACTGTTCAAGTATTTTAAAAGCTATATTGCTACTTTATCACATCCGTTGCCATAAAATACATGAAGATACAGGTGAAACTCAAAAAATTAGAATATCGTGCAAAAGTCCATTTATTTCAGTAATGCAACGTAAAAGATGAAACCAATATATGAGATAGACTCATTACATGCAAAGCAAGATAGTTCAAGCCATGATTTGTCATAATTGAGATGATTATGGCTTACAGCTCATGAAAACCCCAAATCCACAATCTCAGAAAATTAGAACATTGTGAAAAGGTTCAATATTCTAGGCTCAAAGTGTCCCACTCTATAATCAGCTAATGAAGCCATAACACCTGCAAAGGGGTCCTGAGCCTTTAAATGGTCTCTCAGTCTGGTTCAGTAGGAATGACAATCATGGGAAAGACTGCTGACCTGACAGTTGTGCACAAAACCATCATTGACACCCTCCATAAGAAAGGAAAGCCTCAAAAAGTAATTGCAAAGGAAGTTTCCCAAAGTGCTGTATCAAAGCACATTAATAGAAAGTTATATGGAAGGGGAAAGTGTGGAAGAAAAAGGTGCACAAGCAGCAAGGATGACCGCAGCCTGGAGAGGATTGTCAGGAAAAGGCCATTCAAAAATGTCGGGGACTTTCACAAAGAGTGAACTGAGGCTGGAATCAGTGCATCAAGAGCCACCACACACAGATGGATCCTGGACATGGGCTTCAAATGTCGTATTCCTCGTCAAGCCACTCCTGAATGACAAACGTCAGAAGCGCCTTACCTGGGCTAAAGAAAAACAGAACTGCTCTGTTGCTTAGTGGTCCAAAGTCCTCTTTTCTGATGGAAGCAACTTTTGCATCTCATTTGGAAACCAAGGACCCAGAGTCTGGAGGAAGAATGGAGAGGCACACACTGCAAGATGCTTGAAGTCCAGTGTGAAGTTTCCAGTCTGTGTTGACTTGGGGAGCCATGTCATCTGCTGGTGTTGGTTCACTGTGCTTCATTAAGTCTAGGGTCAATGCAGCCGTCTACCAGGAGATTTTGGAGCACTTCATGCTTCCTCCTGCAGATAGGCTTTATGGGGATATTGACTTCATTTTCCAGCAGGACTTGTCACCTGCCCACTCTGCCAAAAGCACCAAAACCTGGTTCAATGACCGTGGGATTACTGTGCTTGACTGGCCAGCAAACTGACCTGACCTGAACCCCATACAGAATCTATGGGGCATTGCCAAGAGAAAGATGAGAGACATGAGACCGAACAATGCAGAAGAGCTGAAGGCCGCTATTGAAGCATCCTGATCTTCCATAACACCTCAGTAGTGTCACAGGCTGATAGCTTCCATGCCACGCTGCAGAGGCAGTAATGGCTGCAAAAGGGGCCCAAACCAAGTACCGAGTACATATGCATGCTTATACTTTTCAGAGGTCCAATACTGTTCTATGTACAATCCTTGTTTTATTGATTGCATGTAATATTCTAATTTTCTGAGATTGTGGGTTTGGGGTTTTCATGAGCTGTAAACCATAATCATCACAATTATGACAAATCACGGCTTGAACTATGTTGCTTTGCATGTAATGAGTCTATCTCATATATTAGTTTCGCCTTTTAAGTTGCATATGGACTTTTGCACGATATTCTAATTTTTTGAGTTTATTTAGACATCAGTTGAATTCACTAAAATGCTAGACTTTTGAGCACATCACCTGATGATCTCCCTCAGTATTGTATGGAGTTCCCTAATTTCTTCTGAGTTGCTGAAACTAGGAAGATGTCCTCCAAGAGCTTCACAGAATCTCTCAGCTTCTTCCCAAGTTCTGGTTCTCAGCACTCTTTCCTTATGAAAAAACTTTGTAAAAAAATAGGAAAAAAAGCCATGTTATCTCTGTATAATATTACTATTTCATTTTTTTTTCTAGACATATATGCCTATTACTTTTAGAGATTAATGAACTTTCCAATCTAGTTATTGCATTTCTGTTTTGCTTCACTTCAAATTTATCATTTCATTTCTTTGGTTGGTTATCAAGTCCCAAGACTGCCATTCCATTCATTTGAAGTTCTATATGAAGGAAATGATTTTTCATATATTTCTTTTTTCCAGGCAGCCTCTCTGATCTCTGAAGAATCTGACATAAGGGATGGGAGAGAGAGCTTTAGAAAAATTGGGAACTCCATAGAATTCCTCCAAATTATGCTAACAGAACCACTCAGAGCGTCTCAAAATAATTCAAGATTGAAGTTGCCAAAGGAACTCAACAAGAATCTGTATTAGGGCAAATTCACAGTGTCTGACATAATAGATTTTGTTGCAGTAGAAAGAGTAGCACTGAATGAAGCCCACCAGCACCTATTTTCCTTCGCTCAAAGATCCATAAACACAACATTGATTTGCTTGCAGAAATATTTCTAAAAAGTAAAGTATGCGTTCAAAAGTTGCATTCGGGGAAGCATTATTTTTTAAAAAGCTTATTTTCATGACTTAGAAAATTTAAAAATACTTTTAAAATCTTGCTGTGGGAAAATATGTAGCAAATAATAGTAATTTGTTTCAGTTTTTGTTTTTTAGAAAAGCATTTCTTGTGGAGTTAATATTAAAGCTTAGGTAGTTTAGGCCAGGCGCATCAAACCCAAGGCCAGGGATATGGATCCGGCCTGTGGGGTGCTTAGATCTGGCACGCAGGGCTGCCCTGGAAATAGCAAAGGGCCAGCCTGCGGTGCCTCTGCCAGCAGCCCTTCTGAGCTCTGTTTTTCTGGCAGAGGCTTGCAGGAGGCCGTCCCAACTGCAAACAGAGCTCGGGAGCCTGTTTTTGCTGGCAGAGTGCTCAGGTCACCTGAAGTGCTGCCACAAGTGATGTCATACTGGCCATGCCCACCCTGGCCACATCCACCCCAACTCCCTGATGTCAAACACAACCCTCAATTAAATCAAATTGGACACCCCTGGTTTAGGAGATCACAAAATTGATCCCATATCCAACATTTCTGCCCAACCAGTGAACATTATTCCATCTGAGACAGAGAGAGCATGAGAGAAGGAAGGAATATATATATAATTTTGGTTAATATATGATGGGAGCTATGGTAGTCGAAGAGAGTACAAGAGTATGTTTTCTTAAGATCCAAGAGAATATAATTCAACAGAAAGGATATAATAATTTAGTAGACTTGATATAATACCTTGTAACAAGAAAGACCTGAACCCCTTGACCACCCTTGTGGGCAAGGGTCAGTGATTTTTGGCATTATCTCTGTTTCTCTCTTTGGTCCAATGTATTTCTTGCAAATGGAATAAGCTTTAAATGTTTGGCAATCCTTGACTTCCCACTTTCCAAGATATCTTCCATTTGACATTGCCACACATCCTCCACGGATTCCTAAAAAGTTGATGTTTCAATTATTTATGTGATATTTTAAGAAAACAGTCGCCCAAGGCTATATTATGAAACAAGTATTAGCACTTCACTAAGTTCAATATTTTACCTGGTTGAAAGGAACCCCAATTTGTGTATGTTAGTAGTTCATTATTTCCATCCACACTTCCCCATTTATACTCTCCTGATGAGCTGATATCTTGCAAGCCAGTCCAGAAATATTTTTCTTCAAGTTTATTATGCATTGTGATTAAATTATTTATAAATTCTTGTTCAAATCTGTAAAGGTCAGAGATTCAATACAAAGAGCAATTATCATCAGATGTACAAAATGTATTTAGCTAGGATTAAAGAGAACATTTCTACAAGATATAGCACAATATTTAAAATTTAAGAAAGTTTACATTCAAAGGGTAACAGTGTACAATACCTGTTTGCTATAGTAAGATTGCACACACTTCCAAAGACGACTTCATTCTTGTCAATCCTATAGCAATAATCTCCATGTTTCTTCCATTCCTAATTTAAAGGATGATAATCATTTATTCAAAAGTAAAGGCAACATGTGACATAAAGTGATCACATTAATTGTAAGATAGGAATGGCGAGTTAATGGAAGCAGTCCATCTGCTTCTGCCCTCTTATTTTTCACAAACAAGCCCGCGTCAAGGTTTGTGCAAGTTGGGCGCGAGCACTTTTGATGACATTTGCCTGAGTGGATCTACAAGTGCCCATGACAAGGCTTTTGCAAGTGGGACTATGAGTGCCTACAACAAGGTTCACACGAGGGGGGCCATAAGCACCCATGACAACACTCTGCCTGCACAGAGGCCACGCACTGGCCGGCCCTTCATGTGGCCCAGTGACGATTAGCCCACAGCCTAGTAGGGGGGCATGAATCACAGGTTGGGAATCCCTGCTGTAAAGTGGTATATAAATCTAAGTGTTATTCTTTTTGACAGGAAATAATTAAGAAATGGATCAAAATATTTATGTCAAATTATGGACAGAAATTAAAAGAAACCTTGAAAGGTGGAAAACATAAAGCTTTCTTGGTTGTACAAGAATGGCAAAAAAGTGTAAGTAAATTTTTATGGAGCAGAAAGATCCTGGAGTTTAATTTAATTGATCAGACTGAACAAATAAAGAAATGCATGAGGATGCAAAACTAAAGAAATAATCACAACACAGAAATGAGAAGAATTATGGAACAAATCTATAAAATTTACTTCCAAGTTATAACTTCTTATAGAACTTGAAGCAGCAAGAATGTTGAATATATGAAGTATATTTAATTAAAGTTCATCTTTCATTTAGAACATAATTTTTTGTTCTTTACCTTACTTGGGGAACAAGCTTTATCAGATTTTGGTTCCTCTAAAACTTTTCCTTTTTTCATACACACAAACTTAAGTTTATTGTTACAAGGTAGGATGTTCCATAGGCCAAACTACAAAGAAAAGGAAACTGATAATTTTAGCACTCTCAAAGACATAATCATCCAAATGAATTGTTTTTCAGTTGTTCATGTACTTTTGCACTTATAAAAATACATAGAAAAAACTATTTCCCTATTAAAATTCTTGAAATATAACTCTGATATAATTCTCATAGAATTTTTAAAATGAGATAGCATAAAAGAGCCTCGGTGGCGCGGTGGTTAGAGTGCAGTACTGCAAACTACTTCTGCTGACAGCCAGCTTCCTGCAATTTGGCAGATCGAATTCCACCAGGCTCAAGGTTGACTCAGCCTTCCATCCTTCTGAGGTGGGTAAAATGAGGACCTAGATTGTTGGGGGCAATAGGCTGACTCTGTAAACCGCTTAGAGAAGGCACTATAAAGCACTATAAAGCAGTATGTAAGTCTAAGTGCTATTGCTATTAATGTATAATTAAACTTAATTATTAATTATTTCTTCTGTTACTCCCGTGAACAAGTTATAGAAAATCTCACCTCTTTTTCTGGACTGCACCAAATTTAAATTTGCAATAATGAATGTTAAGTTCTATTGAAATGAGAGAGGCTTGATTCTCAGTACACACGGCTAAGATGGCTAAACAGGAAAAAAAAAAAAACCTGCAGCTTTTAAACACTTTTTATTCAGTCTCATAAAAGATCTTTGCATTTGAAATTTCTTTCAAAGTAGTAAATCATTTTGGTGAAATTCCAGTAAGTGGAGAGTTGCATCATCGCACTCGATTACACATAACCAAAAGATTATGTGAATGACCTCGCAGTCATCTTTCAGAACTCTGCAGCCTCCCTGTTTACTAGCCCTCTTTGATAAAACGAGTCATACACTTTGCCTTTTATGACGTTTACAAAACACTTTAGAGTCAAGTAATCATAAAACATGCCAAGAGATCCTTACCTTTCCAGAATAGGAGACACAGTTTGGAAAGCTTTTGAAGGAAACCCTTGGCTCATTCTGATCCCAGTATGTAAATATTACTTTGGAATCATCTGACCACTTAAAAAAGGCTGGAATCTCTTTATTCATTAATCCTATCCATATTTTGTCTTTTGTATCTACAATTAAAGCAGAAATTCAAGCAGTTCAAAAATTATTGAGGCAAAAGTATTTAGGCACAGACAACCAGATCCACGTGCATCGAGTTCAATTAGCTGCTTTGTTGTTTGTGCTTATTTCATAGGAATCTTCCCAGACTGACAATCTGCACCTGGACCAGACTAGGAAAGATTCAACACATAGGTAAGCATAAAGGGACAGACCTTGCCCTCTTATGCCTACCTATGGATTCCAAACTAATTCCCTGCTTGACTCCTCCCTCTGAATCAACCTCTCTGATAAAATAGAAACCATCTAATAAAAAATAGAACTTTTTCTATGGTCACTTCTCATTCATGTCATCATAATAATGGAATTAAAGAGGTTTGTCTAGCAGATAGATTTTTACCCAGAGTAATAGCATATACTGTTTTTGTTTTGTTGCTGCATTTGTCACACTGAATAGAATTCTTTATTGACCAAGTGTGATTGGACACACAAGGAATTTTGTATTGGTGCAAATGCTTTCAGTGTACATAAAAGAAAAGATGCATTCGTCAAGAGTCAGGAATCATCAGGTACAACACTTAATAATAATTATAGGGTACAATAAATACAAATAATCCTCACTTAACAACTGCCCTATTAGCAATTGTTCAAAGTTATGATTGCTCTGAAAACTTTGGTTCTTCACACTTGCATCCTTTGCAGTATCATTGCAATCACGTAATACCGATTTGATTCACAGCTGGCTTCTGACAAGCGGAGTCAATGGAGAAGCCAGCCATTAAATTGCAAGTCAAAGTCATATGAAGTTTTGCTTAACGACTGTGATTGATTTGCTTAATGACTGTGGTGGAAGTGAGACTCTAAGTTTATTGTGGTCATGGAATGTCTTGCTTAACAGCCATGTTGCTGGCTCCAATCGTGGTCATTAAGCAACAACTATCTGTAAGTTAAGGAACATGTGGTTATAGATTTAGTAATTCCAGAGATTTAGATTAAACTTTAATCAAATACTTTTTATTGTACATTCCAACCTCAAATTGAGAGTACTGTTTAAACAGAAAAACAGGAGCAACTCCTATCCATGTTTATTCCAACTTACCATTATGGAGTTTTGTAATGACAAATTCAACATCTGCTAAGGAATGTATACTGATCAGGCTACTATTGAGTTCACTGCATAACTGATAGGAATCATTCCACGAAGCAATGTTGTTCTTTAGCATGTAGCAAAATCCATTGTTCGCGTACCAGCCAGATTCACACTGAGTCTCAACATTGTTCTGAATATCTAAAAAAAAAACCCAAAAGAACTTGAAAATAATTTGCTAGAAAATACAATAATTTTTAAAAGCAATGATACAGAACTGATACCATAGGAAAGGATCATAGCTCAGAGGGAACAAACTTTGGATGCAATAGATTTATAGTTCAAATTTTGGCATCTCTGATTTTTAAAAAAAGCAATCTGAGTTGTTGTCACAGTACACAATACTGAATCAGATGGACAAAAAGGCTCAGCTGGTAGAAGACAAAGTTAGCCTGCATGAATTGTCCCTCTTACAGCATTTGCTTTCAAGATATTTTTTAAAAAATGATGCAGAACAAATCCCATTAATGCCAAAATAGGTTTTATATTCTTGGTAACTTCTGCAACTGCCCCTACTCACATTCAAGTCAGAAAAGAGACTGCAGGACCATATTTACATAGAGAACAAGTTTTATCCTTAAAATAAAATTTTCTGAGATCTTTTTGAATGGAAATTATAAAAAATTCCCTGAAACCTTCTAAGTGTAATTAAAGAAAATTATTATTTTTTTCTGAAAAACTTTATTTTGCTACCTGAAAAAGAATTCAGTCCAAATTCTACTACACATTATTCTCTATTATCATATATGCTTGTGTTTGAAATATAGAAATAGAATAAGCTGGAAGGGACCCTGGAGGTCTTCTAGTCCAGCCCCCCTGCTCAAGCAGGAGAACCTATACTGTTTCAGATAAGTGACTGTCTAGAACCTTCTTTAAAACACCCAGTGATGGAGCACCCATAATTTCTGGAGGCCAGCTGTTCCACTGGTTTATTGTCCTCACTATTAGGAAGTCTCTCCTTAATTCCAGGTTGCTTCTCTCTTTGGTCAGTTTCCAAGCATTGTTTCTTGTCCTGCCCTCAGGTGCTTCGGAGAATCATTTGACCCCCCTTTCTTTGTGGCAGTCCCTCAAATACTGGAATACTGCTACTGTGTCACCTCTAATTCTTCTTTTTTTAAAGACTCACCAAACCCAAATACTACAGCCATTCTTCGTATGTTTTAGTCTCCAGGCCTTTGATCATCTTAGTTGTTCTTCTCTGAACTTTTTCTAAAATCTCAAAATCTTTTTTTGTAGTATGGTGACCAAAATTGGTTTCAGTATTCCAGGTGTGGTCTTACTAGGGTTTTATAAAGTGGCACTAATACTTCACGTGATCTTGATCCTATGCCTGTTTATACAACCCAGGATTGTATTAGCTTTTTTGGCTGCTGCTGCTGCACACTGCTGGCTCATACTCAAGTGATCATCCACTAAGACTCCAAGGTCCCTGTCACAGTTACTGTTTTTGAGCCAAGTTTCGCCTAATCTGTACTTATGCCTTTGATTTTTTCCTGTTCATACAGCATACTTGTTTATTTATAAAATTTATAGGCAAGCCATCTTACCTCAAGGTAACTTTGGGTGGCTTTAAGTATTTAAGTAAAAAATTAATGGCTGAACTTGTAGTTTTAAACTGAGGAAAAAAATATACAAAATTTACAAACATTCTGAACTAGCTGTTACGCTTCAGAGTATAGCGTGAATCGTGATAAAGGGTTAATTTAGTAGTCACTTTAAGTATGTTGTGTGAAAGTATTTGGAAAGTCTGGAATGATTCTGAAGTTGCTATATTTGCTGTTATGTAAAGATTTGGCATTTTAGCTGCAAAAACCAGAACAAAATTAAATTCACAACACATTTCAGACTCACCTGGGAAATCCAGTTGACTGTCATTAACTTGTTTCTTGCAGACATAAGGAAGTGGAGTGTCACAGGGATAACTCTTCCAATCACCTGTGTCAGCATTCATAGCTGCACAATCATTTCCGTCTAGTGGAGATACATCCTGCATTTCTACAGAAGAGTAATGATTCGGCTATTAGGCTAATGATACATCATACCATGGATTAGAATAGGTATTGGAGTGCAAAGGATGAGATTAAAATCATAGAACTGGTATTCTTTTTATTAAAAATAATTCAACCCAGTCAGTTCTATTGTTGATTTTACACTACATTCTAGACCAGGGGCCTGTTCAGAACTGGGCTGTAGAAACGGTGGGCGAGCATGCATGTGCAGCTCTACATATGTGCGCAGCAGATGGGCGAGAGCACGTGTGCGGATCAAGTTGTGCAAGAGGCGGGCGCCTGCTGCTTGTGCAAACAGAATTGGGTGTTTTCCCACCCACCACTCGCGTGGAACCATCTCCTCTTCCCTCACTTCTTTTTTTAAGGAATAATTCATAGCACCTGAGCCACAGAACACCAAGGAGGACAGGTTTCCCCTGGAGTCAAGAAACATTAAGTTTCATTCTGAAAAAGAAGATGTATGCCATGGTGGTGGGTGAGTCTCTGCAGAGAGGAACTGAGATGGCTGTGTGTAGAGCTGATATGACATACTTTATGGGAAGTATATATATATATATATATATATTCACTGTCTGCCTACTCTGGTTTCAGTATTCCAAATCATGGTTTGATTTGCCAATGCAAACTAAAAAAAAAAAAGAATCAAGAGCAACCCTGGCCCCAGAAAACATAGTTACTTGTTACATCCCAAATCTAACTGTAGAAGCCTGTTGCTTATTTGTTTGCTATGAGTTACATAATAGCAATAGCACTTAGATACTGCTTCATAGTGCTTTTACAGCCCTAGGCGGTTTACAACCCTAGGCAGTTCACAGAGTAGCATATTGGCCCCAACCACCTGGGCCCTCATTTTACTGTTCTTGGAAGGTTGGAAGGTTGAGTCAACCTTGAGCTGGTGGGAATTGAACTGATGGCAGTGAGCAGTGAGTTAGCCTGCAATTCTGCATTCTAACCAGTGTGCCACCATAACCTCTTATTCCAAGTGGGAGGAATCAAATAATGAGGTTACTGGAGTACAGAATGTTAAATGGCTTTATATGTACATGATGGTGGGAAGGGATAAAAAACACTAGATGGACAGATATGAAAGATAAACATCTAGATAAACAGAGGCCCAATGTCTATGCCAGGATATCCAAGTTCTACATCCAAGGACAATGTCAACTAAAAATACGAGTGAGAAGTTTTGCTATCACTTATTTCTTCTTCTGTATCAGCTCCATCTTTTTCTGCAACTTCTTGTTACGGTTCTCTTTCCTGTTTTGAAGTCCCTCAAGTGTGAATTAACAGAGAAGACAGCACAGGAGGAAAAAAGCAATTACCTGAATTCCAGTTCACGAAGTTCAATGGATTATGATCTGACCAATGCCAGCCTCCAGAAACGTCCAACTGATTTAATCCAATCCAAAATATTTCTGCAATACCATCTTTAGCTAGAGAGTTTTAAGCAAAGATGATGACAGTAGAACAGAACATTTTCAAGCTAATCAGTTCATAGTTGGGATTGACCTACTACAGTAAAACCAAACCAAACAAATCTTTTTGTGGTCTGAGCTCATCTGCGGTATTCTGGTACTCAACTGCAATATTATAGACAACATATATATTCACTGTCTTGTGTATGGTATGTAGAATGCGCAAACATGTGAATGTATTGGTTTCTATGAAAAAAACAAGTGATAAACAATGCCATTCTTTTTTTAAATATCTCCATACTGTTTTGAATGTAAAACTAAGATAAAATACAGCTCATTTATTTTTGGCTTAGAATGGATGCCTAAAATTGCAAGTTACTTGCTTAACAAACTAATGCTAACATAATCCTGGTTTAATGTTATATGGCATGCAACCAATGTTAAATTTAATTTTATTTAAATATAATCAGTACCATGTACTTCTCCAGTGTGGTCTGAGTGGGGATTAACAGCCAGTGGAAATAATAGTGTAATGATTCAGATACTACATCTTGAAGACTTATTTTAAATGACATTTTCTTCTTAGATTGTATTATTTTTTCAGAGAAAGAAAAGGGAATGATCAAGGAATTAGAAGCTAGATTATGAAGAGGAAATTTTGCAGAGACTAGGGAGAAGGGAGATATAATAATATTCTTCAAATACCTCCAAGGCTATTATACAGTACAAGGTTATGATCTGTTGTTTACCATTCCAGAGTGCAGAACATGGTATAATGGATTTAAGTTACAAGAAGACGCATTCCAGAGGACTGTTAAGAAAAAAAAATCTAATTATGGAAGCAGTTTAGCGGAGCTATGATGGGCTTTGCTTCAGCAAATAGGTTCAAGCAGGGGTTGGACAGCCATTTGTCTAGAATACTTTAATTATGATTCATGGACTGACCGCAGCTGGACTCAAATCTTAAATGGCCTCTTCCAACTCTGCATTTTGTAGATTTAATACCTAGTCAACCTTTGCACTGCTGTTATTCTTCGCAAATTGTAGCTTACCTAGATATCCTTTCTAGATAATGAAATACGTGGGGTGGGGCAAGAAATGGTTCAACATGCTGCTTTTAAATGTGTATTAATTGTGTGCCTGTTTACTCTCTTGCAATCCCTTCCTCTTCCACCTGCCTTCTCTGCAAGGGAGGGGGGGAAGAAAAAAAAACAGGTCAGGAACAGGACAATGCATACTGACTAATGGTGATTATGTGGCTTAGGGACACTGCAAAGGTCATAAATGCAGAGAGTGGTCATAAAGTTTTTTTCAGTATTGTTGTAATTTTGAATGGTTGCTGAATTAGACAGTCCATTAACAAGCCTACCTGCATTAGTATTATTTTGATTGCATACTGCCTGCCTTCCAATGACTAGGCTTATTGTTAATATTATGAGTTCAGCTAAATGTTTTTAAAATCATCACTCAAATATCAAATTTGGAAACTAAGAAAAATATTCTGTCCTGCAAGCCATGAAATCTGGTAGCCTGATTCAATCTTGAAACCAATCCACTTATTTTTCATTTGGTTTCCTCTAGAAGTCAGTATAAAGTTGTAGATAAATAATTTACTGACCATATCAAAATATAAAATGAAAATAAAATACAGGATATAATTCCAGGGTAAAATAGATAAAGGAGAAATACAGTAATGAAATACAGATAACAGATAATCAAAGTTGGCATATGTGGTAAGTAGAATGAAACAACATTCAGATAAATATATCATCTTTACATGATATACCCCCCCCCATCTGTTCAATGTAACAGGTTCTAATTGCCTTGAGAATAAACTTAGCATAGCCTACAAACTGTTCTGCTCATAATATATATATATTAGAGCCCAGGAGGGAAATAGGGCAACCAGCGATTCAGGTTGTAGTGGGTTTTTCTTTCAAGTGGGATATTAAATATCTAAGCCTAAGAGGGGCATAAGGTTGACACTGAATGATCAATATCTCTGATATCTGGGGCACCTGGGTACATGTCCTCTTGTGATATGGCAAGTGGCAGAAGCCATTCTTGGCCATGGAATGCAACAACTCAAAAGTTACTCTAGAACAGGCTTCTTGAAAATTGGGTCAAACTCCCCTGATGAATATTTTTCAAACTGAAAAAATAGCTTTGTTTTTTAGCCAACCAACTTAAACATCTATTTGCTGCCAGCAACTCCGTATCAGTTTTGAGCGCTGATATCTAGGACTTCCTGTTAAAAAATTTCCCTTACCTAGGAGACAGTTGAGAGTAAATACTGGGTAGAAAACCCAGTTGTGAAATAATTTTGGTAAACTGGCTTGTACAGGAAATGGACTGAACCATACTTATCTATTTTGCCAAACATATTTTGGATAGCCTATCAGGGTCCACACTGAATGGATCCTTAGTCAATATGTGATAACTTTAATTATTAATAGGCTACATATGGAGTCTACACCTATTTCTGTTCTGACTGCAGGAGCTGACACCTTATCAGTTCCCAGTATACTTCTTTAAAAATGTGTCTGAACTTGTTCACGTGAAATAGCTTTTGTAAGGTCCCACAAGTCAGCTTTGGGACCATTTGTGTTCTGAATAAGCAAGGTTGAAGAACTTTGGGGGTGCTGCAGTGACCACAACTTTGAAATGGATCACAAGTAAAAAAAAATTGGGGAGGGGGGAGAGGAGGGTCTGTTGTAACTTCAAACTGCTGCTAAGTAATCAGTTGTTAAGTAAGAAGTACCTCTAATTCAGTCCAAGGCCACCCTTGGTTAGTAGCTCACCAAGATTTGGACTGCATCTTACTTCTTCTTGTCTGTCAACCTCTATTTTATTTCTGTCACTTATATTTTCTGTATGGTGTGATGTTTTATGGGGAGAAGAGGGAGTAAGGAAGAAACACCCACAAGGACTCTTTGTTCTCTTCCACATCCATATCCCATGTTGAAACAGGGCATGAAGCAGCAGACAGTTTCTCAAAATAGGTATTATTTTCATGGGCACTTGAGGTGATCAGTTCTTCTGGAGGTTTAAACAGCTTTGCAGTGTTGCTAATTCCCTCAAATCACCAAGGTCTTTTTACAATACCCATATGATCAGTATTTGACAGAGTACTGAAAGAGTTAATCAAATTTATCTCTAAGGCTTCTTCAGAAAACTGACTTGATATGAGAGGCACGGATTATACAGATTATTTATTCAGACCCTCTCTTCTCAAGGACTGTGATAAAATGACCTCAGAGTTACCAACTTTTATGCTATAATTAAACTTTAAAGGAGAAGCTCTCTTATTGCTGAGTTATTTAATGGGCTAACTCCCTCAGTGTGAAGCACATATAATGGGAAGATCTCAAATCTGCTAAAAAAAAAGTTTTATTCTGAGCAACATGCTGGCAATAGTGGGGTGTCTGAATGAAAGCATTCAATATAAAGTCTCTCATGGATAGGAGCCATTCAACTTTTGCAAATCAACCAACTGCTTTTCACAATGTAGAAGCTGACTGCGCGGTCCTCTGGATATAGACTTAGATCTCTTAGCTTACTCCTCACTCTCCTTTTAGGTTTCAAATTAGGATCCACCTTTCTGGCACTATTATCTGCTTTTAAGTGGCAATTGTCTCTGCATGAACTTGTTTTAACTGAATCAGCAACATCTATCTTGAAATCAATCCACTTACTTCTCATTAGCCACTGACAGCTTTCCTCTCGAATGCAATATAAAGTTGTACTTACCTCTGATATAATTTAACTCCGATGCACTTGTGATGCTGACCAAATCACTCCCTTGCTTCTTACATGAGAGGTATGCTGCTTTCCAAGAAAGGGCAGCCTGTGTGTTTAACTGGTAACAATTTCCAGAATCTTTAAACTGTTCCCATGTATTCTGACAGCCATCCTCTGTTGAAGACAAGTATTCATATCTGAGATCTACAGGTACCATAACCATTATCTAGAACTCGTGAACATGTTGCCTTATCAACTTAATCTAAACATGAGAGCAAATATCTATATCTATATCTATCAATCAATCATCTATCTATCTATCTATCTATCTATCTATCTATCTATCTATCTATCTATCTATCTATCTATCTATCTATCCACACACACACACACTAATTATCTTCATCTCCAATACTGGCATTCAATTTACATTCTCTGTATCATCCAGATTCTGTGCCATCCAGACTGGGATCTAGATATAGTCTTCCAACCCCGTTTCTCCTTGTTCTGTCTGCAACATGTTTTTAGAACACATGAGAAAAACCAGGATCCACTAAAACTGTTGAGGACCAATATTCACAAGGAAGAAGCGTAGATCAATTAGGTTATAGGTTTCAGATGAAACTACATTTTTGAACATGTTTTTATAACACAAACTGGAACCTCAGGCAAAAATTTTTTAATACTTTAATTTATATAATGATTGCTTATAACAATACTGTGTAATCAATAGAAAGCTATTATGTGAAGCTCTGTTCATCCTTTTTCTCATGAAATACCAAAATATATAATATGCATTAATACAACATTAACTTTTTAGGATACTATTTTAGGAAAGCTACTTGCCTCTTTTTAAGCAGAAGCCCCATTGTTCATCTTGATTGAAGTAAGTGGTTACGGAACACCATTTACTTCCTGGATATTTCTCATTGTAAATGCAATCATGATACCATGTATTATTATGTAGGAAAGGAAATTCACAAGGTTTTCCATAGGCATTCCCATCCCTGGTATAACTTTCTGCATAAAAGAAACCAAAAACAGATTTAACATTTTAAAAAGCCTGGAAATGAGTGTATTTGTTGTAAAATAAAACAAAATAAACATTTTTTAAAATGTTGTTTTAAGACATGTATGACTGTAGGAAGAATCATGTATGCACAGATCTTAAGATACATTAGGTAGAGCCAACAATACATGGAGCCAGAGGTCATCAATAGTTTAAAAAAAAAACTAGTATCAAAATCACAAGGTAATGATCTGACCCTATACAACTTCAGGAACAATACAAATGGCCAAAGAAGGAATGAGTCTTCAGCAAAAAGTAGTGGGACATGCTTCAGCATGTCTGTATCTTCTTTTCTATATCTTCTTTGTTCAAAGTAATATTCAAAGTAATATAAGTAATAAGTAAAAACACGTAGCCACATTTGTTATCCATGCAGAAAATGAAAAAAAAATCTTTCCAAGGAAAAAAATGATTTCAAAATCATAGCACTGGGGAGAGCAACCTGAGACTCTTCAGATGCTACTAAACTACAGTTTCCAGCAGCTGGAGCGAATTCAGCTACCTCTTAATTGATTTTTGTATTATGTTCTTTCTTGTGTTCACTGCCTAGAGTTCCACTGACAGCTGGACAACTGTATAAATCTGAACACTAGATAATAGATAACTTCTGGAGTACTGGATAGCTAGGTAACACTATCACTAGATAGCCAGATAAACTTTGGAGGATCTTAAGTTTCCTTTAAGTTTCAGCTTTTAGGGTTAACATGAAACAACCAGGTTGGCTAATGAAATGGTATCATAATTTTCAGCAAAATAACTTTCAATGGATGCAGTCAAAATGAAACTGATGGTTTCAAGATTTGTTTGGCTATCATTGCTGGCTTTCTAACAGAAGAAGGGCATTATTCAGAATTATTAAATACAAAATATAGGAGATATATGACAATTCAAAATTATGTGTGGGGTAATTTTAATTGTCCTGATTCTTTTGCTATTACTGTTGTGAATATTGAACAGATACAGGGCAAATTTTCTGACTCCAAGGGCTGCACATGATACTGATAAAAGCTGCCTTTGTTGGGTTGGAAAACAGGTGCCTCTTCATACCAGCCATGAAAGACTGTACAATCTTCTCATGTGAAGTGAAAGAACAAACCAAATCCCTGAAAAATTAAAGACTGTCCTGTGATAATCCCACCAGATTAACTTGGTTTTGTTAACAGCAAAGCCCAATCCACAAAGTCACAATACCCTGGCTAGATATACCGCAGCACATTTAATAAACAAAAATAAAATAAATTACTTCATTGCCCTGCTGAAGAAGAAATTGAGGCTGGTTTTGAAAGCTCATAAAGGAACCAGGGAAAAACACTGAACTAAATAATTGTACTAACAGGACTTCAGCCACTGTAGATAAAAATAGCCTGAACTGGCTGGAGGTTAGGTTAGATCAGGAGAAATCTGGTGACTTTGTTGTTATAATTATAATTAATTTGTACAGATGTTTAAATCTATTTAGATCTGTTAAACAGAAAGTAAAAAAACAAGTCAGTTCCTGCTCATGAGCTTATAATTTCATAAAATTTTATAATAAAAGATCTACAGGGTGGGGTGGAAGAAAGGAAAAAAAGAAAAACAAATACGTTCATTCATAGTTATATAAACACAAATACGGCTAGAAACAACTGTGTGATACAGTGATACAGACTTCGTCAACCAAGTAGCTCCGGAGAACAAGGCAGAAATACAAAAGATGCCTTGAGGTAATTTCCATTTGTTTGTTTAGACATGCTCACTGTTTTCTACAGCGAGAAGACAGAGTGGTTTTGTACTCTAAAAACTAGTGGAGCTGCATGTTTTCTGTGCACTAACCATAGAAAAAGGATAGCTAAAAATAAGTTTGTAGGACTTCCCCAGAGTTCCTTCAACTTAAAAATAATTTTGTTGGCATTCGAATTAGAGAAAACAAGACCTCTAATTTCATTATGGTTAATCCCCCATTTCTTAAAAATGATTAAGTTCAAAACTTTCTTCTCTGCAAAGGTAAAAAAAGGAAGTTCAGAAACTTCCACTTCCACTTTGGATTAACCCTGGTTTTTTACATCACTATTTTACCTGATTGGTAAAAAAAGAACCTCTACAATCCTGTTCTCCAGCCCAGTACACACCTTTTTTCCAGGGGTGAAATTCAAAAATTTTCCCTACCGGTTCGGTGGGCGGGGCTTGGTAGGCCCCTGTCTCTAAAAGGAAGGAGGCAGGCAGGTGTGGGTGGGGCCAACTGATTCAAATCGTCCCTACCACCTCTCCGAACCAATTCAAATCATCCCTACCACCTCTTCCGAAGTGGTTTGAGGTGGTTGAATCCTGCTTCCCTGCTCCCCCCCCCCCCCAACAAGGAACATTGAGGCAGCAAACCTGGGAGTCTGATTTGGGGGAGGCTTTGGGAAACAGCTTAGTCAAAATAGATGTTGTCAGGTTTTTAATTTATTTTTAGGGCTTGTTCTACATAATAAGGGGCAAAAATAAACCAACCCACTATTAAAAGCCAGCACTTTACTTTTAAAAGTTAACTACATGAACTTGAAGGATCTTGAGAAGTAAAGAAATTGGGCATGGAGCACTTGAACCTATGGATTATCTACTCTTATGCTAAAACATGATTTAATGTAACATCAGCAACCCACTACAGAGGAAATAAGTTGTGTATTCTTTATAAATGCCAAATGTACAAAGATTTGAGTACAAAGAGCATTAGCAAAAGCAGTAACAATAATTGTCCACCCCTCAAAAAATCCAGCATAATGTCTAATATTTCAAAATGTCTGATTTTTCCACGATAGTTTCATCTGGAAATAATCTGTTTCATCCTGCAAAACAACAACAACAATAATCTGAGCGCTTTTAAAAATCATGAGAATTCTGCATGTTTTGCAAAGGAGCATTAGTTATTTGCAATGCTTTTTTTCCTTAATTTATTAGATTTTTTTTATCTCGCCTTCATTACTTTATTAATAATTCAAGGCATTGAACACGTCAAATATTCCTTCCTCCTCCTATTCTCCCCACGACAACCTTGAGGTGGGTTGGGTCGAGGGAGGGTGATGGGCTCAAAGTCACCCAACTAGCCTTCATTCCTAAAGCGGAACTAAAACTCACAGCCTCCTGGTTTCTAGGTCAGCACCTTAATCACTACATTAACGGTCTTAGTGCTCCTCCAAATGCATTCCAAAATACATTCAGGCATCCTCCAAATTAACATTCTATTAGATACCCCAAGTATGGATTTCAACTTCCGAAATTCTAAACCAGTATAGTCCCAGCATAGCTGAGAATGCTGCCACCTATACCTGGAAACAATGTATGTTAGAATATGCAGGAAGGTCTGAATTCCAGTTCATCATGTGAGAGTATTAATTAAGATTACTGGCGCTTAATCATCACTTGATGCAACACTCAACTGGGGATGCTCCCTTTCTTTTGAACTCCTTAGAACAGGAGTCTCTAACCTTGGCCACTTTAAGACTTGTGGACTTCAACTCAGAAAAGCTGGCTGAGGAACTCTGCAAGTTGAAGTCCATAAGTCTTAAAGCGGCCAAGAATGGAGACCCCTGCCTTAGAAGTCAGCATTTAGACATATTCTGCCTGAAACTCTTTTTTCCCTTTCTATAAATCAAAGAAAATACGTACCACTATATGGAAATTTACAAATCGTATCGCTGGAATTGCTTCTTCTCCAAGCATCAGAAGAGTTTAGGCTTACAGTGAGGATTCCATTCTTTAATGCTAGTTTATTCTGAGATGTGGAGAGGATGGAATCACCAACACAGCGCCACCACAGATTGAGTTCCGAGTCACAAGCAAACATTTTTAAGGTATTTGTAGACTTTACAGTCTCTAGTCCAAGGCATTTTTGGGATGCCAAATTAAAAAGGCGATGTTGAGAGACCCAGGTCCATAAGCTCTCGTCTGTCTCCTCACAATTTCCTAATATTAGGTGCTGGCTTTTAACTTGGATGCACTTATTAGAATTTTCATGCCGGATGGTGAAAAGATTGTTATCTGCATGGAGAAAAGAATATATTTTAATGTTTTTCCTGTTCTAACTTTCAGTAAAAACAAAAATAATACTGAAAGATTATGTAGCAACACCGGAATGCACTGTCAACATTCAGTTCCATGACAGAACATCTTAATAATTATTGAAAATACCTTTATCTATTTATATACTTACAAACAGCATTCTCTAAGCAGCAACAACATTACGTAGTTTTTGAAAGATTAAAAAAGCAACATGATCTCAGAAGCAAATAAAGCAATATTTAAAGATAGACAACATCAATTTTAGTATTACTCAGTGTGCTCAATGTTTAGGAGGCCTCGAATAACAACAGCATTATCATTATTATTAACAAAAAAGAGATTATATGCGAAGTGTTAGCATCTCTGTGAAAGGTGTTTTTTAAATGGGTAACACCTTTTCCCTTGCAAAAATTCAGATGATCAATAGATGGCAGTAAAGAGGTATCAAACGTTTTAGCTGTTTGCCCACTAGAACAGTGGCCCACAACCGTTTTTGTACCACGGCCCGGTACCGGCATCACAAAATGATCCACGGACTGGTACTGGCATCAGCACGCACGACCAAGGCAAGGCAAGTGACCGGCCAGCCAGCCGTCCCCCGCTTCTCCCCGCCACCTTTAACTCCTCCTTTGTACCTTCTCGCGGTCGATGGGCTTTTTGGGCTCTTTCTTAATCTCCTCCTGAGTAACGCGATACTCCACCGCCATCGGGACGGCTCTTCGTTTGAAGCCGCCCCCCCTGACGAAACTAAGGCGCGATGATTCCTTCAGCACCCAAACGCCGCTTTCCATCCAATCGATGACCGACAAGCTCACCTGGAAGCACTTTCTCAAGTGCCGTCGAAACAAGATGGCGGCGCCCAAGCAAAGTAGCCGGCCCGGTACAAAATGTCCACAGAACGGTACCTGTCCGGGACCTGGTGGTTGGGGACCCCTGCACTAGAGCAGGGGTCTCCAACCTTGGCAACTTTGAGACTTGTGGACTTCAACGCCCAGAATTGGAGACTTGTGGACTTCAATGCTCAGCCAGCAAAGCAGTATATTTGAAGGCTAAAACTGGTATAATCTTGTGTACTATCTACCCAAACATCTGTTGAAAGGAACATTCAGAGAAGACCTGTAAATATGACAAATTTTTCTAATAGCTTAGCAGAAAATTGTCTTCAAAACCAAAAAATGGAGTGGAAGCTAGTAAAGATGATAAAATAAAGGTAAACAGGTGGTCCTCATTTAACAACACCTCATTCAGTTGACTTTTCAAATTCATAATTTTGCTGAACGAGAAGTCACACAAACACAATCCAGACAATCATCTTGCAATTATGACTTTGCAGTATCCTGTAGTCATGTGAACTCCATTTGTGACTTTCTTTGCTGGGTTCCAACAAGTGAAGGGGAAAGCCAGCAGGAGATCAAAAATGACAACCATGTGATGTCCTCAGTGATTCGCTTAACAATAGCATCTAGAAATGCTGGCCCAAACTGCTGTCATTATATGAAGACTACCTGTAATATGTTCAGCTATGTTCTGGAGTTCTTTGGACGACTTTATCAGAAGAAGCTCCATGTATAAAATATATTGCATAATCCAAACAGAGTTCAGATAACTATGTTTAGTGCATCAAGTAAAATAAAAGGATTCAGAATCGGAGGCCCCTTGATGCTGTTAGATTAATACGACTCCCCAGTGGATTAAAGGATGTGTGCATTTGATTTTCTTCACAGTAAGGCAATGAAGAACTGGTGAACTTTTCTAGTTAATGCCCAATTTTCTAGTACAACCTTTTATTGCATTCCCAGTGTTGTTTAGATTAAACCACAGTTTATTAGCCTTTATCCAATCTTTATGGGTATAATCCTAAATATTTACAGTTTAACCCATTAATTAGAAGCATGTTCCATTGAACCAACAGGTATTATTCCATGTAAATGTATCCTCCATAGAAATATAAGATTTATTATACATCTGATGAAACTTAATTAATCAATATAATTTATTAAAGAAATAATGGAATAAAATTATCTGTAAAATGAATTAAATTTCTAGTTTGAAATGTTTTATGTTTATATATTTATGTGCTAATGTTTTATTTATTTTAAAATTAGAACATTATTTTAAAAATGAATTCTTTTTAGTTCATGAAAACCAGTAAGTTGTTGATTCTCTAAACCAGTTTTCTACAGCTTAAACCAATTAAAGCCTATTTGCTGGTATAGAAAGACCACTACGGTCTAGTTTGATTACTGAATCTCACATCATAAAGTTCTGATGAGAAACAATTTTAGTTGCTATATGCATTTAACTTCGACTAAAATTATATTTTTTGGTGGAGAAAATAACCTAAGATGGCACACTAAGACCACTGAATTGTGCAGAAATTGTACAATTGCAGTGCTGTACTAAGACGCTGAGCTTGTTGATCAGAAAGGTTGTCAGTTTGGAGGTTCGAATCCCTAGAAGCGTGTAACAGAATGAGCTCCTGTTATTTGTCTTAGCTTCTGCCAACCCAGCAGTTAAAAAGCATGTAAAAAAATGCAAGTAAAAAAAATAGGGACCACTTTGGTGGGAAGGTAACAGTGTTCCGTGCACCTTGGGCGTTTAGTCAAGCCAGCCACATGACCACGAAGACGTCTTCGGACAGCACTGGCTCTTTGGCTTTGTAATGGAGATGAACACCGCCCCCTAGACCCAGAAACAACTAACACGTATGTGCGAGGGGAACCTTTACCTTTTAGCAAAGGTTTTCCTCTGTAATAGTTATTACTCAGTTAAAATTTATTTTGTAGTGTACAAAATATTTCTGCTTTATATTCTCTAATGATTAAATTAATAATAGATTTCTAAAAGTCACAGCAGTGAATTAAGTACCCCGCAAACGAAATGCCCACAGAACTTTATTTGAAACCATCTAAAATATTATGCTAATCTGAAATTTGAAACATTTATTTGCAATTTACTAGCCTGAATGTATGCAAAGCTGCTATCTAAAGTATGTTTATGCACCTGCAGCCTGCTTGGGCATTTCCCTGGAGTCATACCTCAAGCAATCTGGAAAGAAAACAATTGTGCTATGTGCAATGTATTTCACTGAAATGCACTTTGCAAATTCTGCTTGATTTTGAAAATATGCCCCACGCATGCGGAAGATTGTTGAACACTCTGATGAATAAATAAAGGTATTCCCTCAACAATAATCCTGGGGAGGGGGGTTAATAGTGATTCATCTAATGGTCATATTTATTGGCACAATGTTCAGGTTTTTAATTAGCAATGCAGTATCTTGGTAATATGTTTGATTTATTATTTCATGCTTTATCAACTTTTTATTATAGCTGAACTGAGCCACAATGCTTTAATATAACAAAAACCTTCTGGGATAAATTCCTCTAAATATATGCATTTCTAAAATAGGCAAAAGTTGATTAAAATCTTATCCCTGACATTATATACAACATAGTTGCTTGCTTTATTAACAGTAAAGAAAAATGCTAAATAAATAAACAAGATAAAATGCCCCTCATATGAATTACAATTTTTGAGTTTAGCAAACACATCCTGAAAGTGTTATTGAAAACCAACAATAAAATGACACTACAAGGTTTACAGGTTGTTCTCAACTTACAACCACAATTGAGCCCCAAATTTATGTTGCTAAGTGAGAAATTTGTTAAATGAGTTTTGCCCCATTTTATGACTTTTCTTGCCACATTTGTTAAGTGAATCTGGTTTTCCCATTGACTTTGCTTGTCAGAAGATTGCAAAAGGTGATTGATTACATGAATGTGATTGGAATCTGAAACCGTCATAAATGTGAATCAGATGTCAAGCATTTGAATGTAAATCACGTGCCCGTAGGGATGCTTCAACTGTCATAATTGTGAAAAATTGTTATGTCATTTTTTTCAGTGCTGGTTGTAACTTTGAACTGTCACTAAATGACTGTTGGAAGTTGAGGATTACCTGCATTTTCACATCATTTTCTTTGGCGTACAATAATTTATTTAAATTTATTACTCCCCAAAACTCAACTCCCAAGATATGTCCACTTCTACTAGTATTCACCCTCACATTCTAGACACGTCAGTAAATCCCAAGCTCTTTGGGATAACTCTGTCGATGTGGTATGTATTGCTTATTGCTACAAAGCTGATTGGCACTTCCAGAGGTCCTACTTCTACTATTGACTGCAAGAAGGCAGTCTTCCAGCTGATGACATGGAACAAGATGTAAGCACTGGGCATCATGCATGGACCTGACCCAAGCTGCAGTGAAGCCAGGCCTGGGATATAAAGCACACAAGCCCAATGGCAAGGACTAACAACCCAGTCCAGGACTAGGAGATGGAGGGCTCCTCCACCGTCTGAGCAAGATATCCCTCTCTTTCAACCATCTGCAACATTCTAAAAACCACCAAATAACAACGGCCACTTTGTTAACACAACCAGCCTTGGTACCATGTGTGTATGTGTAGGAGGAGTATATTCATGCAAGATGACACATGTAAAGTATGAATGGGACCCATGTTGTGACAATCCAACACTTGTCACTTGCTCCCCTTAGCAACTACCCCCATACAGGTGCCCTATTTCAAGTCAAATGTTGAAAATGTTAAACGTATAACAACCACAATAAATTCTAAATCTCTATGTATTTAGAAAAAGGTTCTGATAAACACCTCACCACAGAAAAAAATGTAGCAGGATGAGGCAACAGATAGACTGCTCCTTTTATGTATTTGATAATTGGTTCCTGGAAGTAAAATATGAACTAAACCAATAATTTCCCCAAATAAATGAATAGAACATCACACAAATATGAATTATAAAAGTTGTGGTGCAAGTTATTCATAACTGATCGAGATAAAAGAAACAGAAATAGTGAATTTCACTAACAAGTACATTTCTAAAGATTCTGGAGATATACACATTGTACCATGTATCAGCCTTTTGAGGAAGATCAGATCAGGAAACAAAACTAAA